GTAGGGGCTGGAAAGGATTCCTTATGATTATAGGCATAATAGGCCATGAAAGGAGGCTTAGGGATTAGTACCCCTGCTATCCTGCAAAAGGGATCTGAGTTGGATCTTATTCAAATGGATTATCCATGTGCAGTTATGCACATTAATAACCAAGGTGCATAGTTGTGGTCACTAACAATTGTCATGTTGACTGTCCAAATGTAAGGGTCTTATGGAGTGGGTACTTCCTGCTGGAAGAGACAGGAAGATGGGGGTAGGAGTAAGGGGAAATGTCTGGAGAGAAGAGAGGGGAAGATTCCTTATCTAGTTAGTAGACAGGAACCTGGACAAATATAATTCCAGACATAAAGGTCACTAAAAGGGACTAGGGATCAGCATCCCTGCGATACTGCAAAAGGGATCTGAGTTGGATCTTATTGAAATGGATGACCTGGGTGCAACTGTGCACATTAATGTACAAGGTGCATAGTTGTGGTCACTAACAATTGTCACCTTGACTATCCAAATATAAATATTTCAGGGAGTAGGTACTTCCTGCTGGATAAGACAGGAATATGGGAGTAGGAAGAAAGGGAAATGTCTGGGAGAGAGGACAGGGAAGGATTTTATCGGGTAGGTACTTCCTGCTGGGAAAAAAAGGAAAATGTGGTGGAGGGGACAGGCATGGAAGAATTTCTTGCTTGTTAGACAAACATAATTCCAGATATTACAAGCCACAAAAAAGAGGCCTATGGATCAGCACCCCTGCAATACCTCTAAAGGGGTCTGAGCTTTAGATCTTACTCAAAATTATGACCCCCATACAATTATACACATTAATATCCAAGGTGCTAGGTTGCAGTCAAAATTGTTAGCTTGACTATTTAAATGTAGTGGTCTTATAGAATGGGCACTTCCTGTTGGAAGGGACAGGAAGATAGGGGTGAGAGAAGTCAGGGAAAGTGTCAGGAAGGGGCCAGGAAAGATTCCTTGTCTAGTAGACAGGAAACTGGGCAATATAATCATGTACATAACAGGCCACAAAAAGAAGACAATGAGATTAGGATCCTGCTATACCACAAAAATGGTGCAAAAGTTGGCTCTTATTGCAGGTGATCCCTGTATAATCATACACAATAATGTCCAAAGTGCATGGGTGTAATCACTAACAACTGTGCACTTAGACTGTTCAAATGTTAGAGTCTTATGGAGTGAGCCCTTCCTGCTGGAAGGGACAGGAAGATGGGGTGGAAGGACACAGGGAAAATGTCAGGGGAGGGAGCATGGGAGAAGTCCTTCTTTGATAGACAGGAAATTGGACATATATAATTCCAGACAAAATAGGCCACAAAAAGAGGCCTATGGATCAGCACTCCTGCAACACCGTTAAAGGGTCTGAGAGTCAGATATTTTTCAAATGGATGACCCATGTGCAATTACGCACATTAATGTAAGACACATGGTTGTGGTCTCTATGATTGGCACCTTAGCTATACAAATAAGGATTTTATGGAGCAGGTACTTCCTGCTGTAAAGAAAAGTAAGATGGGGGGAAAGTGTTGGGACAGGCAGGGAAAGTGTCAGGGGAGGAGCTGGGGGATATTCCTTATAATTATAGACATAATAGGTTATGAAAACGGGCTTATGTATCAGCAGCCCTGTTACACTGCAAAAGGGGTCTGAACTGGATCTCATTCAAATAAAAGACCTATGTGCAATTATGCACATTAATATACAAGGTGCATGGTTGTAGTCACTTACAATTGTCACCTTGACTGTGCAAATGTAGGGGTTTTATGGAGCAGGCAATTCC